AATGTTGAACTAAAAGCATCAGACTTGAGTCTCTCAGCCCCCAAACTTGAGGGAGACATTGGTACTCCAGGCATTGATGCTGGTCTCAAAACTGGCATTGATCCCAACGTGAATGTTGGTTTGCCTGAAACTGATATCAAGGCACCCAGTCTACATCTGCCAAAAGCTGACCTCCAGTCATCTGATCTCAGCTTGAAAACACCAAATGTCAACCTTTATCCACCAAAAATTGGTGGTAGTCTCTCAGCACCAAACATAGACACGAGTATGCCAAAAATTGAACTAGAAGCACCCAATGCCAATGTGAAATGTCCAGGTTTGGATGTCAACCTGCCAGAAGCAGACCTCAAAGATTCCAATATCCAGTTGAAAACTCCAGATCTGGATTTGAATACCCACCTTGGTGACTTTAAAATGCCACATTACAATCATCCAAAACTTGATCTTTCAAGTCCTGAAGTAGAAGCTCCCAGTATTAATCCCACAGTTGAGGCTGGAATTAAGGTACCTGGAGTCAGCACAGATATGCCTACAACAGATGCACACATCTCTGTTCCTGCAGTAGATTTGAATGCGCCAAATGTAGGTGATATTAAAGGACCTGATGTAGATGTGAAAACTCCAGATGTAGATGCAAGTCTTGAGAAGCCCAAGATGCCACATTTCAAGATCCCAAAGTTTAATCTTTTTGGATCTAAAACAAAATCTCCTGAGACTAATGCCAGTGCAGATCTTGAGGGGAGTGGCTCTGACTCTGATGTGGTGGAGGTGGAGGTTCCTGTATTCAAGTTCCACAGACTGCCCCAAATCAACATTGATGGCATCGGAGGAATTACTGAAGCACTGAGCTCAATAAAATCTGACTTGGAGGAGAAGGATTTTGTTTTCAGTAAAGGAATCCGCTTGCCAGTAGTGAATGCAACAGCAAAAGGAGGAGAAAAGATTGACATTTTGGAGAGATTGAAAATCGCAAGAGAAAAGGCGTCCTCAGTGAATGTGTCGCCAACAGAAGAGAAAACTGATATTGACCTACAACACACTGGCGCAGGTCTTGATGCTAATACATCTACAGGTGCAGGAGATGCGGCTTTGGTCAGAGGAGGCACTTTCAAAGTAGACAAACCAGAGTCTACGCTGGGGCTGACCGTACCTGATATTTCTACATCAGATGAAAATGACAAATATTCACTGAGCCTTTCTAATATGCTTGGCCTTAATTAATGTCAAGGATTCTGATGCCAACTGATCGTTCAAAGGTTGGCCTGATAAATGAAGCTCCAGTCCATAAATGTATGAATACATGCAGCATAACTGATTTTCATGTTTTAGTTTGTGACATAAAGAGAGAGACTAGCTGTAACTAATCCATCTTGTTGTAATTTTAATAATAATTTAGCGTAATAGTTCAGTTGTTGATACAATCTATGTATATTTTCCTGTTATTTATAAGCTTTTTCTAAATGTTAATTTGAAATTGCTTTAGTTTCAGTATTGCTTGTGATCACCATAAACTTTGTCTAGCAAGTGCTTTACTAAATATTTTAAAGGATAAATGAATTGTGTGAATGTGTTACTCTTTGTTCAATAAATCATTACAATGTCCAAAATAAGAATGTCCAGTAATTAAAGCCAGAGATGGTCTGTAATTGTTGAAACATCCCTCCATACAAGTGATTTAACCCACGGTCCATTCCTGCCATACCACTTGATATGATGAGTATAAAATTCTAACAACCTCATTACATTACATATAGGTAAATACAATGATTACTAAAATATGTGATACTCACTGACTTGAGGCTCTTGTATCAGGTTATGGAACACACCTTTGAGATTGTTCTGATATTGCAATTCAATATTTGAAAACAAAAACATTGACAAGTTTTTTTTTACATGTTTATTTCATACTGATAAAAGCTCTTAAAAATACTTTGCATGCTTTTTAGTTTACAGGTTATTTTCTTTGGGTAATTTTACAAAAGGTGTTTGACTCCAATAAACTGTTTATAACATGGCTCTACTTTCAGCTTTATTTATGCTAATGTTTAGTATTCAAAAAGTTATGAAGGGGATCCTGTTAACATGGGCTCATGTTCCCCCCCCCAAACCCCCAAACAGTAACCCACACCAATAGAAAATCCTATTTGGGGGGTGGGGGTATTCTTTGCACCTAGAGCCATGCTAGTGTTTCTGAAATCAGGATTTCCCTTTTTCATATTTAGCTGAACAGAAAAACGGAGACAGTGAAGGTTGACAGGAATGAGTACTTTTGTAATGGGGTGGAAAACATTTCCCTTAAGAACTCAGGAAACCATCAGATGTATGGATAGACTGTCTCAGAACTAAGTGTGAAATTCATCTCTGTTACCGCAGCGGTCCCCAAGCCCCGGTCCACGGCCCGGTCCCGGTCTGACTCGTGGTACCGGGCCGTGAGAGTTGAGGCTCGGGTGTGAAATTTGTGTTTCAGGGTTGTTATCGTGAACTCTGTTTCCCTGGGTCTTTCCCCTGTTGTAGTTCTGAGTCTTCTTTTGAAAGAAATATTTACGCGTGTCCATAGCAACCAGAGGGGATTAAGGAGGATGTTACTGTCAATGTTGTTGGTGTATTTCAGGAGGACGCTGCTAATAAAGTTACACAGTTACACAGTGAATTTGCGTTTATTATTATATTTACAAAACACCAGCGTTTGTGTCTCGGTCGGATCATTGAATTTTGTTGTATTTATCCGCCACACCTCAAAGTCGTAAAAACATTGTCTGACATTAAACCGTCCGTGGAGCAAAAAAGGTTGGGGACCGCTGTGTTAATGAACAAGTCAGTGGAATCACTAAACTGTCCCATTACGGTGAAGCTATTTCAGTGTCCAACTCCAGTGTTTTGTCCTTTAACTTCTGTTCTTGTTGAGTTGCACTGCACACTGACATGTTTCTGCCTCTGCCCAGGTATTATGAAAATCTCTAAACAGCCTTTGAAACACAGAAAGTAAGAAAATGAAATTTTGCAGCATTGACATCAACATCGTTGCTTGAATTTGAATAATCCAACTCCATCTGATTTAGTTAATGTCAATCTTTAACACTGCTCCGAAGACTCAGAATCTGCGGCAGGTGTGCCAACGTCAGGTCACAAGTAAGAAATATACTGGTGATCTGCATGCACCGATCAGATCTGTGACTTTGCATTGTATTCACTATATCCAGAACAGCGTGAGGTCAGTACTGTGCAATATTCTCTACAGACAGGTTTATCCATTTCACAAGCTCATTTACTAAAGATACAAAAAACTGGTAGCATGTATCAAAGCTTATGAAAATTAGGAAATCAAGTACAACCCTGAAAGATTAAGAGTCAAATTGATTGTGTGTGTTGCCAGCGCGACGGCCAATCCTTCTCTATCCAGCTCTGCAGCAGTCGCAGCACATCAATGCGCTGATAGATGCGGCAAAGTTCAGTGAGCTCAGTGACCGTCTTCTGGTTGTAGCGTAACAGGAACTCCTGGGTGGGGCTGTGGGACAAGGAACCCTGGGTCCGATGCTCCAGCAGGGTCAGTTCGTCATAGCTCATCCCCCAACGACTCGCAAAGTTTTTCCAGTTTTTGATGGTGCAGTGGTTTGGATCCAATTTGAGCCGCAGCAAGTCCAGCAGATCTTTGTCGTTCATGAGGTCGCTGATTTTGGGAGGGGGTGCCGGGCAGAAGCACTTCTCGCAGGGGTTCGTTAAAAACTGTAGTTCTTTGGGATAGTCTGAACTCAGAGATGGACAAGGAAAGATTGAGTTAGCTCAAGCACATTACCAAATAACATTTGCTATCTGCTAACAACAATTTGCTAACAACTATTTAGCTTGTCAGTGTTTTCTGTTACGATGAAAAACAAACGCACATTTAACATGGAAAAGGTTTCAACACATCCAAGAAATCCCTTTGAGGCAAAAAGCTTATCAAACTGCTTTAGTCTGGGTGGCTGTAGCTCAGGAGGTAGAGCAGGTCACCTTCTCATTGGAAGGTTGGTCTGCTCCAGTCTGCACGCCAGATATCCAAGATACCAACCCCACTGTTAGAAAGCTTTTAAGCGTGGAACAAAGTGCTTGTATGAATGGGTGAATGAAGCATGTTATGTAGAGTAAAAAAACAAACCCGCTATGTTCAACAGTTTAGTCAACAGCTCTGCTCAAAGCACGAGAAGCCTTTGTTGTTTACAGCCCATCAGAATAAAAGTGTCACAAAAGGAGAGCGAAGCGTGTTGCAAAGGGGCTCTGGACTATTCCAGTTTTCATTGGTGAAAGGCAGGAGTGCAACCTGCCTAGAGAGACAACCATTCACACTTAAATGTCTTTGGACTATGGGAGGAAGCTGGAATAACCAGAGAGCGCCCACTGGTGTACGCGAGTCCACAATGAAAGGACTCAAATCCAGAACCTTCCTGCTGTGAGTGAACGGGGCTAAACACTGCACCGCTGTGTCATCCCAAGCTTTCTGAACTCAATGATGCAAAGCTCAAGCAGAGTGAAAGAAATGAGCATGAAGCTGAAAGCAGCAGAACAGGTCCTCTTTAATAATTTAGTCACGTATTCTTCTAGTTGTGTTGAGTACAACACAGTGCCCATCGTGAAGATTGTGGTGCGTTCAAACTCCTCTCCCAAAGTGTAACCATCATATGATTATTACTGTCAAATTTAAATCAAAGAGTAAAACTGCTGTTAGTCTGATAAGCGGTGTTTCAGTTCCTTCTGATATTTTCATTTAAAGGGTTCAGCACGAGTAACTGACCTACCTGGTGAAGAAGAAGTGGGGCAAGTGCATTCTTCCACATCTTCCACTGGCTGCACACAGAGAAGCAAAGAATGAATGGTAGGCACATGCTACTGTGGACTGGTCATTTCCCCCCGGACTACAAACACTGCTGAGGGTATGTGAAAATGAGCGCTGCAAAGAACAACTTTACATTCACTACTCTGCTAAATCCAAATATGTCTGTGCATGACGGGATTTGCTGGGTGTCTCAGCAGGGAGCCCGTACACCCAGTACTTCCATTCTGTGTCATTTTGCAGGTGCTGGTGTGTAATATTTGTAAAGGAATATACACCTTTTTAGCAAATACTACCATTAACTCAAGATGGAGACATTGTTTTTGAGTGTTGTTTGGAGTGGTCGGTCGCAACCAAATATCATCAATGACCTTTTCATGAGTCGTGGAAAACACGCAGCCAAGTAGTGAGGATATATTTTACGGAGGACAGTTATTAAAGCAACCCTTTATACTTAAAAATTATAAAGCTCATTCAAGCTGCAGTAAAAGACAAAACATTTGCTACACACGGGCATGAGGCAGAGTTTTTACATTTCTCCTGCTGATGCCTCACATCCACTTTTGTGTTGGCCTCAGTGCTACTGCATCCTGAACTGCAGGAAGTCTATACATGTGCTGTCAAAGCCATGAAAATGAGAAAGCAGTATATGCCCATACTTGCAAACTCTAATTACTGCATTAGTGGAGTGAGTAAGAAAGACAGAATTACAGCTTAATAGATTTCATTTGATCTTTTTGGTGTTAAAAATACTGCAGTGCATGTACCAAACACAAGTTCTGATGGCCGTGATGTGCAGTTTGGTAAAGTGCCCCGTGTGGAGCGACGTTGTAGATTGCAGCACTATAGCTAGCAACTCTAACTCTATGTACATATTTAGCAGGTATATTCCTCAACTGGATTGTGGATACTAGCATGCTGTGGATGAAGACAATATGGACCATTAATCCTCACCATGTCCCGGTGTCATAAGAGAAAGGATTGACCATTCCTGGGACTGAGGCAACCATGGAAACTATTTAAATCGTTAACAATGTGAAACGTTTACATTCCCTACAATCGTCATGGCTGTAACGCTTCACAACGCTTGTACACTGAGAAAAAGCTAATCAGCTGTTTGTTTTGATGCTGTGGTAAATTTACTGCCTTCAGTAGTCGCTGCGGTTCGGTTAGAGCAGGTTCAGGTTTCACTCGGCTGCAAATGTAGATCAGAGGTTTAGATGTGATGCTTTTTCCTGGCTGGTGCTAATAAAACATGTCTCAACAGAAGCCATGTTGCACAGTACATCAAGGTCGAGCAGAGAGTTGAGACGCTGTGCTGGAGGGGTGTGAATATTTCACCAGTGGAGAGACTGGAATAGACTGGAATGGGTCAAATCTTCTGTCCCCTTTAAGCTCGCTACCGACAGCAGCAGCACTGTTTCAGAGAGCGCCCTGAAATGGAGTCATGTGAGCGCTCTTCCTACTGTGCTCGGTCTCTGTTATTAGCAAAGTTCACAGCTGCACCTTCAGTGAGACCAAACCACATCCTGTATAATCACAGCGTAAAATAAAAGGTTCTCACAGACTATGCTCTGTGTCTTTAGATCTGGTGAATAATGTTTGGTTGTTGGCGGTCGTATTTTCAGAGGATCCCCACCCATTGGTGCTAACCAGTGCATTGCCACGCTGCCACTGTGTTCTCTTCAAGCACAACAGGGAACAAAGGGAGAGATCCAGGTTTGTAGACTGGAAGGACACCACAGCTGACGGTGTGTCCTCGCTGTTATAATCTGTTTTTGTGCTGATATGTGGCCATAGGAAACGTTTTGTTATTAACTGCACGGGCCACACAGTTGTGCCAAATCAGGATAACCAATCACTTTCTGTAAGAAGCAAAGCATCAGTTTTTAAATAAAGAGTGTCTAACAGTGCACGTCATGCTTTACTCTGTTCCTATGGACTTGTTACCTGTGAAAGGCATGTAGGGAATAAAACAGCTGTGGTTTTCATACAGGGAGTGCAGAATTATTAGGCAAATGAGTATTTTG